CTACGCCTACAGCGTCTGGTGTTCCTAGGTGGTCTCCCATCCAACTACTAACCAGGCCCGACCCTGCTTAGCTTCCGAGATCAGACGGGATCGGGCTTGTTCAGGGTGGCATGGCGGTAGCTACACTCTCTGGTTCATTTTTGATTTGGCAAAAGTGTCTGACCACAGTAAAAAATGAAATCTTTTATTAACACCGCCTCCCCCCGCCCCGATTAATAGCACGCCTGGCAGGTAACGGGAGAGGCCTTGGGTTTTGATGTCAAGACCTGAGTTTGAACCTGTCTCTGCTGGTCAGAGGTGGACGCTCCAGCCAGTACTTTAGCTGGAATGTCTCTCGCTGTGTCTCCCACTGTCCGGCGTCCCAGTCTGTGGTCCCACGTCCGTCACTGGGCGATGTTGGCACACCATCCCTGTTCATTGTGCTTCCGTCATGCGGTCTCACGGCTGCCATTCGAGTTCTCAAGCTTGGACCGAGCGAGAGCCCGGGAAACAGACTGAGGGAGTGTGCCATTAGCGAGGAGGGCAGACTTATTCTGGGGACGATGTACTTCGGTCATGAGAAACAGCACTGTATTTCATCTAGCCGGGGGAGTCACGGAGGCCCCAGTGAGGTGACAATATGCAGTAGCATCGTCAGCAGCTTGGATGCCCGCCTCGCAATGGCCCCGGTGCTCACGGATGGGGAGGTGGGTCCGCTCTGCAGGTGCAGAGCTTCGACCTTCCCATGAAGAGGGTCTGACGGATCCCAGCCCCCACTCCCCATCCCGTGGGCCTTGAACCCGCTCCCAGAGGCTGGGGAGGAAGGAGCCCGTCTATGCCGCTGCATCACTTGGTCTCTGCCTCTTCGGCTAAAATCCACAGCTTCCAAGGCTCTTGCCAGGGGAGCCACACATAGAAGCCTTTGTCCGCCGGCCGGGCACCCCAGGCCCTGGCCAGGAGGCCGCCCTCTTCCCCAGCCGCTTGGCGACTGGTCCTCTGCCTCCACGCCAAGACTGTGACCGCAGTGGAAGGTTCAGAAGCTTGCTTTCTCAACTTATTCTCAGTCGTTTTAAAAGTGGGACAACCAAAATAATAATAATAATAATAATAATAATAATGGACACATCTAGCATAAGGAGAACTAAATGCAAGTAGGTGACGAGACGGGACACACGCTCCTCTGCCGTCGGCCTGGCCAGGCACAGCTCTCGGCCTCCTGGCACCCAAACCTAAAAAGGGGGATGGGGGAGGGAAGTGCTAAGATTCTCCGTAAGGTCCTGCTTTGGGGTCAGTGGCTTTTGCAGACTTTCTTCTTCACTCCTAGCGATTTGCAGTCACAGAAATAACACAACAAGGGTCTCTGACGAGGAGTGTGGCCTTCTCTAGGTGGGCTGGGTCATAGGGAGTGACGCACAGGTCAGAGGTCAGTCCCTGCCTGTGGAGGGGATGGGAAGGATGTAGGATTAAGTTAAGGGAGTCTTCTACCAAAGTGCTAAACGGGGAAGGGCTGGGCGGGGGCGGAGAGGGAGGAAGGGAGGGAGAGAGAGAGGGAGAATGACTCACCAAAATGAGCCCTGGCCGACTGTTCAGAACGTCCCCTGGAACATTTTGGGGACACTCGGCCACAGACGAGGCAGCATCTTTTTCGAGGACCCTGTCCGCCTGCTCTGGTTCTGTTCTTTGCTTCCATTTTTAGATGAGGCTCTTCTGATTCACACTTCTTTCCCATTTTGTTATCTGTGTCCCGGTGACATTTCAGACGTGGCTTTGATTTTATTAGCAAACGGGCCCTCATTTCTTTCTCCGACGTGCTTTAGAGTCCTCCCTGGGGATGGTTAATTTCAGATACTGTTGATGAATTTCTGAATCTGGTTCAGGCTAATTCTCCTCTCTGATGGTCTCTGTGCTCTGTGCCACCACGTAGGTGTGCAGACACATGCACACACACACACTATGTGGCACTGGCCGAGAGTCATCGGTGTCGGCTTTTGTGGGGCCGGGCAGCGGGGCCCGGTCAGCACCAGCTCCTAGCCACAGACAGGCCTGTGCCCCAGGACCTGGGACATTCTCAAAGGACTCCCGCCCCGCTCCTGGCCTGGCTTCCTCCGCCTCTCACAGTCCCCTCTACTACGTTTGCTGTGCCAGCTTCCTGCTGCCATCCCGGGCCAGCGTGGGCCCGGGTCTAACGGCCACACCCTCGGTGAGGGAGCCCGTAGCTGTGCTTGGATGTTTGAGGGGTCAGCGTAAGTCCCCTGGGGCTTAAAGTCCAATTCGGGAAATATGCAGGTGACTTGTGACTAGAGAGACAGGCAAGGGTCAGGCTGTTCTGAGAAGCAGCCT